GCTCATTTCTTGAAACAGAAATTACATTCTCAAAATAACACAGACAAACCTCCAAACCTCTTGGCAAATGTTCACAACAGAATGGCATTTCTCATTCATTTTATCAAATGGCAAATGCCTTAGTACATGTCTCAGTTGTCTCAGTGCATCTTTGCAAATGATTAAGTACACGTAGCCTACAGTTATACAGTTAGCCCACATTTAGCACATTTTCCAAATGAATAGATCCTGTAGATCTAAACTGATTAGTTGATTCTCAGTCTAATGATTATTCCTCCAAAACATGTCAGCATGATGTCATTGTATAAGTACTCGCATGCACAACTGTCTGTTCAATTGTCAAAATTGGTCAAGAACATAATACCATGAATACCATACATGAATTTCTTTGAATATTTGATAAATTGATGACAGTCATTGACAGTCAGGTGAAACTAGACTAACGAAGGGGGAGCGTCACACACAGGTGTGTTCCATGATTGTGTGCTGCCAAACACAGATATATAGAGCTTGACCAGAGCCAGTCCGAGGCTCTGAACATGGATAGACAAGGCCAAGCAAACGGACAAGGGGAAGCTCTTCCTCAAGGAAGAGGAGGAGGAGGAGGAGGACTGAGAATGCATGGTGGAGGAATAGGGGGAAGAGCCCGAGGAGCGCGAAGACACTGTGCTGTCCCGAATGAAATTCGGGCCACGATTATAGACCATGTCATAAACCATGGCCTCACAATGGCAGAGGCAGGTCGTCGAGTGCAGCCGAATGTGCCTCGCTCTACAGTCTCCTCCATCATCCAAACCTTTCGCAGGGAAAACAGGTATGTACTCTATGTAATCTATGATGGAGTTACATGCTGTATAGGACAGGGCACTGTGCGTGAGGCAAAGAATGTATAACTTACTGTAGAGATTTTGTGTGCATCTGCCTACAGTAGTAGGTCTATACTAGCAGGTGGAGAGGACTAGTGGAATGTTGTGATACTAAATATGACAAGAAATATATTGAACTAATTACTGTAAACTATGGAATTACATCATTTATACAGTTTAGAGTAGTATTCCAGTCACTGTGCAATGTTGCATTAGGATTGTGGTGAAGTTACTGTGAGTAAAACAATAACACAATTACACTGGTAACTTACTGTATTCTGTTCTTTGTGTAGGATTGGACGACAACCTCACGTGGGTGGCAGAGGACAACTGCTCAATGAACAACAGGAAAGACAGATTTGTAGCATGGTGATGGCAAATAATGCCATCACACTGAGACAGATCCGAGATGCCATCCTTCAGGACGATCATATATTCCAGAATATAAACACAATAAGCATAAGTTATTCAGCAGTTCTTGGAGAGTGTTTGGGATATAATATGTCACATGTAACAATTCTGGATGATATCCAACAATTTTGAAGCAGAAACATTGTTTCAGTGACAAGTTATAGGTGGCAATCACTTTTTGGCAGGCTTAAAATGGCATATTATGGGTATTAATGATCCTTTAAAAGTTATTCAGCATTTCTTAGAGACTGTTTTGGGATATGATGTGCCACATATAACCCTTTTGGATGATACCCAACAAGTTTGAAGCAGAAATATTGTTTCAGTGACAAGATATAGGCCACAATCACTTTTTGGCAGGTTGGAAAATTGCATATTATGGTTTCAGTTATCAACTAAGATTTGATATAATTTAATAAAAATGTGATAGAAATATGCATACAAATCACTTTTTGGCAGGTTGGAAATTGCATATTATCAGTTTTATTGTTCCTGTAAAAGTTATTCGGCAGTTCTTGGAGAGTTTTTGGGATATAATATATCACATGTAACCCTTCTGGAATATATCCAACAAGTTTGAAGCAGAAATATTGTTTCAGTGACAAGTTATAGGCCACAATCACTTTTTGGTAGCGCTAAAATGCCATGTTCTCAGTCGTTATTCTGCACAAACAAGAAAGAGTCATGGTGATACTGGCACAATAGGTCTTTATTGTTTTAACTACTATTTGACAGTCTTATAACAAATATGAACAACGAGAGTAGACATACTAAACCTGTAGGCATTAATTATTCCATCGTGATGCGTGTAGTCATTCGTGACTGCGCTACACACTGAAAGCAACCTTCTGACAAGCGTCATAATTCGGTTACAAGAAACGTTAAAGCTCCATAAATGCATACCTTTGCCTAATAACAAAGGCATAAATGTGTTTGGGTTTTTTTCCCCCACGTTATATCAGTTGCACAGAAGTAGCTGGCAACGCAAGTAATCCAGGCGCTGCAGCTTTAAGCGGCCGCGCGCGCTCCCGCGGACGGCAATCACTTTCTGGCAGACAATCACTTTTTGGCACAACACCGGCTGCTCCCAAATAGAGCACATTTCATTTATAATGTTGTAAATCCAAGTCCATTATGTATTCATGATTTGAATCCTGGGTTGTGTGAAATCCCAGAAATACACCTTAGACAAAGAGAATCTGTGAACTTGGGTGTACGTCTGTTAGGTTATGTTGTGGTGATCCTCGAGTTGGTGGATTTGTGTTCATACTGGAGTGCACAATTAAAACCAATGGAAGATGGACAAGAAAAGTTCAAAGCCATCAGGTGCTCAGTTTAGAAAAAATAGAAAAGAAGAGGAGGAGAAACGAGCAAAAGATGCAGGTAAGCAGATGTGTGATTGGATAATGGCAGCTCATCCTGAAACTATCAGAGTGTGTTTATGGGGCGGGGGGGCGCCAGAGGGAGTGTTCGCCCGGGACTCCAAACAGGCTAGGACCGCCACTGAACACCACAGGCTGCTATGTCCATCCCTTTATCATCTTCTGATTGCTGGACAATTTCACAAACTTCAGACTATCTCTTTTTTTTTTTAAATTATATTTTTATTGAAGAGAAAAAAAAGGACTTGTTACAATAAAGTGCATTGACATTATTTAGCCAAAAAAAAGGATAAGAAAAAACAACCTTTTTCTTAGTCCTTTTGTTTTACATTCTGATAACAAAAAAAAATAACTCATTGGCTTGACAGTGTGTTACATAATGCAGCATATTTAACTTATTTACAACGACTACATTAGGTACATATTATGAAGTTGAGGGTCAACCTGACATTGTACAATACATGGGAGATACACCAATTCAGGGTTGGTCTTACCTAAATTCAGGGCGGAGGGGGGACACAAAGCTAATCCACTTATTCCATATTTTATAAAATTTGTCTTTTCGAATTTTTAAAAAGAATGTCAATTTTTCCATTTTAAATATTTCGAAAACCACATTAAACCACTCCTCAAGTGTTGGCGGAGTTGGATTTAACCACTTTCTGGTTATTGATTTTTTTGCTGGCCGCTAATAGCGCTTGTAAGAGTTTTGTGTCCCCTCCCCGGACCGAGCCAGCAACCAAGCCCAAGTACAAATTTACAAAATTGATGTCAAATTTTTTCTTAAAAACCTCACACAAAGTTTTAGGGATTCCCAGCCAGTAATTTTTTAAGTTAGGACAGTCCCAAAAGATATGATAATGATGTGCCTCTTCTGATCCACATCTCCAGCATTCTGCTGTCCCATTTTTATATTTAGTTTGATGAGGGGTTTTGAAAAATCTAATAATGTTCTTCCAACAGTGGTCTCTCCAAGATAAAGAACTTGTTGAGTACCAATGAAAATTACAAATCCTCTCCCAGTTCCCGTTTGTTATACCCATCCCCGATTCCAATTCCCATTTAATCTTAACATTTTGAGTAGTATCCTTCCTTGCTTGAAGGAGCACATCATATAGTTTGGAGATTGCCTTTCCCAGAGAACTATCCTATGCTAATTTAACTATCTTAAAAATTTCTGACTCAACCATATTTGGGTTTGGGATATTGTAGTGTTTATTAAAGTAATCCTTCATTTGAAGAAACCTGAAGAAATCTACTTGTCTTAAGCCGTTTCTTATTTGTAAAGACTGGAAACTCTGTAGTGTCCCTTTATGTGTGAAGGAATGGAATGTTGTTAGTCCACTCTCTATCCAGGACTGAAATCTATTATCACTTTCATTTGGTTCAAAATCTGTGTCATAAGCACACCATCTAAATACTTTTAGTATTCGTTCACTACCACATATTTTAGTCACTTTATTCCATATTTTTAAAGTGTGGCTAATCCATGGTCCTTTATCTTCTAAACGGTCTGCCAATTTTTTTTTATCCGCAATTGAGGCTCGTAGTTGGAATTTAGGGGTTGTATTGAATTCTATGGATTTCCACTTAGCTTTCAAATTCGGGTTACACCATTGCAGCAGGGGGATGACCTGAGATGCATAATAGTAGTATTGTAAGCATGCGAGTGTTGCCCCCCCTTTTTGCCTTGCTTAACTGTAAAGATCTAAATTTAATTCTTGTTTTTTTTCCCATGCCAAATAAAGCGCGAAATCCATTTGTCCCATTCCCCAAACTGTGTTTGACTTACTTCAACAGGCAAAGTTCTAAATAAATAGAGGAGTCTTGGGATGTACGTTCATTTTCACTGCTAATATCCTTGAATTTAAATTTAAGAAAGGCACCAGATTCCACCTATCTAAATCAAATTTTATGGGACCATACTTTACTTGTGATAGATTAGAAATATTCTTAGTTAGAATTATTCCCAAGTATTTAAGTGTTTCAGCTTCCCAATTTATATTATAATTATCTCGTAAAGTGTTAGATGCTGTATAGTTAAGTGTTCTTCAGACTATCTCAAACTGATTTCTTGAACAAGGCAGTGAGTTCACTAAACGCAAATGGGGGTTCCACAATCGCCAGACCTCAAACCATTAACGCACTTTTGGGATGTGGGTGGAACAGCAGATTCCATCTTGGATGTGCAGGTGACAAATCTGCGGCAGCTGCACGGTGTCGGAGTATCTCGTGTGCCTAATTCAGCGGTTGGTGAGCGTGTGTATTTCCTGTAGGCGTGACTGAGCTGAGCAGCTTTTACTTCTCTATTTGGCCGCTCCACTAGTTAGACCAACACCGAACTAAGGTTAACTGAAATCTGCTGGAGAGATGAGTTCTTTCAGTGATGCATCTTTCGAGGACTTGAGTGACGAGTTAGCGAGTCTTGGGTAAGGCCAGGTTAGGAATTATAAACACCTTTCACCTGTTGGAAAACATTAAGCTGCTAAAAGCGATACTTTACGCGATTCTTCACCAGCGCGCACCAATTTGATGAGCAGGATAAAAAGCAAGACCATAGCTTTATACCACTGTTGTTACACGGTAAAGTCCTTTTACAAAGAGCTAACTCGTTTATCTTTAGACCATATATTGTGACATGTTTCATCGTCTCTGTCTTGTGCTGTGTATTTAGGAATGACAGGATGTGCTTCTTAAATCAGTGTTTTGTGAAACAGTGTGAAACTGAAATCTACAAGAATTGTAACTTACTAACATAAATGATTATCATATAACGTTTTCTAAAAGCAAAAATTAAACAGCTGAGTTCCGTGTTAACAGGTTGTTACGTAAGTTATGTGTACACTTCTAATTTACTTTGCACGAGGGGAATATTGTCAGTTGTAACATGCCGAAAACAAGTTCCAGTACCGACTCACTGTGCAGCCTATTAACACTTCGCTCAGCTATAAATTCTCTCCGTGTAATGTTTTGTGGAGTTTTCTGTTGTGTTCTGGTCCCTCCTGCACATATCAGACCCACTCAGGACAATATTTGCAATTCCAAAAGAAGCGCCATGGCGCGTTTCAGAGATGTCGAGGACTGCCCGTTCCGCTCCTTAAAGCAGTTTGTTTGTTTGTTTGTTTGTTTGTTTGTTTGTTTGATTTACGGAAGTCGGGTGCCGACAAAATCGCTTCGATTTAAAGCCGCACAGAACAAAACTGCGCCCGAGACTCAACTCCGAAAACACGCAGCTGGTATTTAACGGTTACGATCATACTGGCCTAATAACTTGTGACTCTATCATACCGATGGTATGTTCTAACGTTGTTGATACTTTGTTTCTTTTGAGGAAGGACAAATATAATGTTAAACCACAGGATGCTGCACACATGGTGACTGAACTTTTAGTGTGCTTATATATTTCACGAATTGTTAGAGAAGCTTTCTGTAAACGCAACAAATTCCAAATCCACAATCCTCAGGATGTATCCACAGACTGCTCTGACAAACGAGGTCTTACTATAAATGCACTGAATAAAGTCAGCATGGAGTTTCTGGAACAGTCGTATATGATACCTCAATAACGCTGCAAACATCCATCCATCCATTCTCTTCCACTTATCCTTGTCAGGGAGGCAGATGGCTACCATAGAGAAACAGACATTCACTTAAACGCCCTTTAACATTTAACCACACTATCACACATCTTTAGACTGTGGGAGGAAGCCAGAGTACCCAGAGAGAACATGCAAACTCCACACAGAAAGGCTCCGGCCAGATGGTGCATTTAAACTCAGGACTGCCACTCTGCAAACAAGAAATAGAAAAACGTAATGTTCAGTGTGGAATTTAAACGGATAATTCTGCAGCTGGTTTTAAAATATGATCAGAACCTTTTGAATCTAGCGGTTTTTCTTGAGCTGTTGCCTTCAGTGATATTTTTAAACAGTCCCAGCAACTTTTAATGCAAATTAAGAACTTTCACATCCTTTTACCAGTTCCCTTTATATTTCCATACAGTCTGAGGTTCACAGTACTGCAGAGATGACCTTGAATCATAACATAAGCCTGTTCTTTCACGTAATTTTGCACAACAGTGTAAAAAGCATACAGGTTCTGCATATGAGACAGAAGTCCCAGCAGTACACTTTCCTTATAAAAGTCAGCATTTTCATTCAGACCTGGTCTTCAGGAAAAACATTAGATGAAGCCCACGGCAGATTATTTAAATCTGCATTTTTTAGACCAGGATTAATTCCAGCTTCACTCTCTGTTAAAGTCGTTGTCCAAAATCGTCACATTTTAACACTCACCAATGTCGCTTATGGTTGTGAAATGGAGAAATAACATTGCTGTACAGTGTTGTATGTAAAAGTTTCAGCATGTAACACTGAGCAAGCAGCTTTAGGTGCCAAATAAGTTTTTCCAAGTCTTTGTAAATTGAGCACAAGCTCAGATGATTACTGTGATTTGTCCATGCTGTTGTATAAAGACTGCTGTTGTTTCTGTTGAAATATTAGAAATCAATTTGACACAGAATGAACTGTAGCTAAAAGATGGGCCGTGTGTCAAAATGTAGATAAAAATTAGACCTTTCATATCATTTATCTAACAATGGTTTTATTAGATTTTAAAAATAAAAAAATCATATTACTATTGCCTTGAAGGTGGTACCACTATGACCTGTCTCGCCATGCTGCAGAGGCCCTTCTCTTGTCCAATGGGACGGATGGAAGTTACCTCCTGAGAAACAGTAATGAGGGATCAGACTGCTTCGCCCTGTCCGTTAGGTGAGTGAACGAGGGAAGTGCACCATGGGTTTGGAACCGTAACAGTGACAAAACAATGATGTCACAACAGATGCAGAGTTATCTTACCTGATTATAGCTTTATTTTTTACTTTTAGTTAAATTCGCCTTGCTCCCCATGTCTTGTCTTGCACAGTTTGGTTTCTCACTGGTGTGTTTAGTAATAACAGAGTCACCAGATCCCCTTAATGTCGAGGTTAAAGGTTTAAGTTTTTCATTGCAGTTTTCACCAAGTATTCTAGTATTAGTCACACAAAGCGTGTGTGTGGACGGGTATTAACATCTTCATGGGGACCAAAAATTGGTAGTTTACTGTACTTGTGGGGACAAACAGCCCCCATGGAGACCAAAATCCAGGTCACCACGAGTTTGAAGGCATTTCTGAGACTCAAAATGTGGTTTTAGTGTCAGGGTTACAATTAGGTTATGGTTAGATTTAGAGTAAGGGTCAGGGTTAGGCATTCATTTTTGATGGTTAGGGTTAGGGTAAGCGGCTAAGGAAAGCATTATGTCAATGAGATGTCCCCATAAGGATATAAATACACACACATGCGTGTGGGGAGAAAGACAGAGAGGTGATAGTGAACCACCTAGAAACACTTTGTTAAAAGCAAGTATGTGAATCTTAACAATGATGAAGAAAGGAAACACGTACTTGCTAAATTTTGAAGCTAAATATCTGCAGGTCTGTGGTTAGTGTACTTCTACTTGTGAATGACTTTTAAAGTGAAACATTTATGCTGTTTGTCATTTGACATAGGGCAAAGGATTCAGTGAAGCATTTTCAGGTGACACGAAATAGCAATGGCTATGTGTTTGGTTTTAATGAGTTTCCAACCCTTCAAGACTTTGTCAACCACTTTGCTAACCAACCTCTGCTGGGCAGCGACACAGGTATGCAGACCATGATCTTCATCAAAAAACGTAATGCTAGCTATGATGCACACATAAAGACTGCATTAAAACACACCCAAGAAGTATACTGACAAACAGGAATGTACGTCCATCTTTATTTCTTCCGTGTTTTAAAGTCGGCTTGCCGGGCATATAACCAACCTTTGTCTCTTAACCAGGAACCCTCATTGTTTTGAAGAGTCCGTATCCATGGCGTGTGGAGGAGCCATCTATTTATGAATCTGTGCGAGTTCACACTGCCATACAGACAGGACGCACAGAAAATGATCTGGTAGCAAATGCACCTTCGGTACGACAACCATTGCAAACACCCATGTAGTCTCATGTGAGCAACATCTGACGAATTTCGTGGGAAGGGCTCTTTTTCGTCATAAATACAAGCTCGCAGCTCTCACATGTTTAAATATTAAGTAGTGTGCTCTGATGATGCCTAAACAATTCGTAAAGTCTTTTTTTATTATGGAGACTTTTTTGTGCTCAAATGATCAGGCTTTGCAGTTGTGATAAGCACGTTTGGATTCAACTAGCAACAACTGCAATAAGTTCAGATTTCTCCCTCAGTCTTTATGTACGGACAATGATTATCTGACCACAGCAACTTTTGGTGTGATAAACCTTTTTTATTTTCTAGGTGACCTATTACTCTGTATTGTACGTCACATTACTCTAAATAAAATCTAAATATGTTGCATTATTCGTAATGGGTATTCACACAAGTTATTTTAACTTAAAGATTATATAGCCAAGACTTATTCACAGTATGCAGCTTAAACTGGAATAAACCACAGTTATTCTTGAAATGTTTACAATTTAAAATGTATTTTCTATTTTTTCAGCTGGGGACAAAGGAAGGCTTCCTGGTGAAGCAAGGGGCAATTGTGAAGGTAACAGCAGTTGACATGCAAGAACAGTTACTTAACTGATTCTCATCACAAATACTTAGGAAATCTGTTTGTGTTTCGTTGCAGACAGAAATCTTATGTAACTGTGTGAAACAAGAATAATTCAGAAACATGGCTTCAGAGTTTGACATGAAGTAACATTGAAGTAATTGATTTGATTTTGATTTTATATATGCTGTCAATCTTTTCTGCAGAACTGGAAGCAAAGGTGGTTCACGCTCAACAGATATGAACTTAAATACTTCAAAGACAAAATGGTAAGTCTGCTCAGCTCAGTGGTGCAGTGGCTAGCACTGCCATCTTTCAGAAAGCTTATGTTTCCTCTCATAGTCCAAAGATGTACATCTTATTGGTGTATCTTCTCACTGATTCCAAACTGGTTCTGGTGTAAACTCAAAAGACACGACGTTGTAGCCTCAACACAAGCTTTTCATTTCCACACCACATTTTCCCGCACACGCACACAAACCACAATTCACCGCAGGCTACCGCACTCTCGCGATATAACAGAAAACAACAAGTTAACAATCTCTCTCTTTCTTGTAAAATAAAGATATAAACATACAGGTTTAAAACATATGTGTATCTGTCTGTCTGTCTGTCTGTCTATCCATCTATCCATCTATCCATCTATCTATCTATCTATCTATCTATCTATCTATCTATCTATCTATCTATCTATCTATCTATCTATCTATCTATCTATCTATCTATCTATCTATCTATACAAAAAACAACAACTTGTCAACATTGATGAACATTCAAGAAATTCAGATGTGCTTCACTTTAACTGAAGCATACTATAACTACACAAAATAAATAACAGTGCATTTTAATGCAAAAAAACAAAGGATCACAGTATCCAGAGTCTAGTGCTTGTAGAAGGATTAAAGGTGAAACTCCCTTTTTTGTCAGACAATCAGCAAGTTGAGATTTGGAATCTGACCAACAAACCAACAAATTCAGACGGGTTTGTCTGATTTCTAGCCCCAGTCTCTTCTCTGTAACCTGCTTAGTGGACTTGAGTGCATCAAACAAGGAATGATTGTCAGTCACACAGATCAACAGAACAGCATTCAGACCAGTGTTACCAGTTGTAAGCTCAGAAAAATGTGTTGCCAGGAAGACTGCACTGTCTATTCCATCTGACATGGCAAGAGTTTCTCCTGCCAGTGTACTTCTGACCACACACCTGATTTTCTTAGCCTGCCAAAAGAGAGGACAAAACTTTCGCCCCTTTACCCATAAGGACGATTAATGCCCCTCCTTGAGTACAGCCATCAGGAAGGTTACCAAAAGAAGCATCACTGAAAACAACCAATGCCAAATCCTCACTGTTACCCAAGTGCTGAAACTTAAGAGTTACTTTCTCTGCCTTAGGTTTACAGAAACCTTTGTTCACTTGAATGGACTGCACAGTTACATCTTTAATATTAGATGCCAGGCTGCATGTGTCAAACATCACATCTGGCCTCGTTTGTTTGGTAACCCACAAAATCTGTCCTATTTTGACCTGAATTGCTCCCGTTCTGTTTCGCTTAAAGAAGCCTCCCTCTCCCTCTTCTCGTTTGGCTCTCGGCGAAGGCGGTCACACTTTTCTCCTCTCTTCTCCCTTATCTTCCCCGCTTAGCTTCTTATGTCCTTGTCTTGTCTCGTGTTTTTACTTTTCCCTGGAACAGTCTCTCACTGTCGTTCTTTAAAACCTAAAAGAGAATTATGGATTTGATTAACTGGTCTCTGAATGCTATTGACACCCTTTTCTCAACGAGAAGTCTGGGCTCGGGAGAGCCCGAGTGTCCTGGAGGTACTTTCCCTGCCGGATACACGATGGACGGGTGGCAGAAATGGAGGATCGTGTGCCTGGCGGGACTGTCGATCGAGGACGCTGAAGATATCGACCTATTCGAAACCCTGATAACAGGGTTCTTGCTGATCGGAGCTGGCTTGGCCCTGACTTATTGGAGAATTAAGAGAGCGGAACCGGCTGTTCAAACCCCCACAAGACTGTCCGCTGGGATTGAAACGATGGGACGAGGCGCGACTTTTCAGAATGGGCCCACTGAGTGCAGCATGGTTAAGAGCTTGGAGAAGCTTACGGCTGCTGTGAATACTCAGAATAACCTCTGAGCGAATGACAAGACCACGGAGCGCAAGTTTGATCACATCATGGAGAAGCTCGCGGCTCTCCAACGGGAGATTGAGAGACCAGTGTCGGACTGTTAAGAACAGCTTTGAAATTCCCGTGAGTTGTTCGCACTAAAGAAAAACCACCATCATAATGTGCAGAGGAGTTTTTTTTGTATCCTGTTCTCATACTGTCCTCCCAGGAGCCCAGCATGAGTAGAGGCCTCTTTTTTTCCTCTTGTACTTTCCCATTGTAGTGTATATTTCAGTGTTTTTCTGTAACGCTACCGACCTTTATCCCCATGTGATGTCTGTGTTGTGTGTGTAAGTTCGGGGGGGTGTCCCATTTCACTGCAGGGCAACCTGCATGTGGCGAATAAAGCCTTGATTGATTGATTGATTGATTGATTGATTTACAGCCTGTGCTGCTTGTAACTGAACCGGTTGTATGTTGTCAATGTAAAGTTGGTTACGTTACGTCATTAACTGTACAAATGTCCATACCAACATTAAAAAGAAGCTGTCATGTTCTTCACGCCCCAATAGGAAGGTAGATTTCAGTACAGGAATGACATGAGTTGCAGAGTGACTTGAACTAGCCCAAAGGAAATGATCAACATGACATGCAAGCACTCCTGTGATCTCAGATTGTTCCTTTTGCCAATAAAACACCTCGGGATCAACCTGTGATATTTTACCACCAGTGCTGAGCATAATGTCTTTGACCTTATTGTACCAATGAAGTGAAGCATCTGCAAGTCCATATACACACCTTTTAAATTTCCATAGAACATTGTCCTTGTCAGCCTTAGATGGGGGCAAAGATAAATGTCTCTTGACAGCTCCATTCCCTGCAAAAAGGCAGATTTAATGTCCATTGAATTCACTTTCCACTTGTTTTGACATATCACAGCTAGCACCAGTCTGAGGGACTCAGATGCACATGTTGGACAGTCTTTTTGTAGTTCCTGAGTATTAACTTCTTCAAACCCGCATGCCACAAGTCGGGCCTTTGGGACAACACCATTAGTAGTTTCTTTGAGTGTACAGACCCATCTAGTAGACACACATTTTTGATCCTGGTCTTTCACTTCATCAAATACACCATTACTTTGCCAGTTCTAAATCTCCTGTTTGGCAGCATCAAAGGAGATGTTTTTGTTATGAGTACATCTGCATCTCTGGTTTCAGGTTCAGTGCAAAGACCATCAACAAGTGACATGTCTACAGCTTTCTTTTCACCTTAACTACCATCAAGCTCAAGATATTGCACATTATACCCGTTTTTGTATTGCCCTTTGGCTTTCCCTGCTCTGCCTAATACTCTGGCTGTATGTTGAACGCTGTCGTCTGTGCTAGTAAGTGATCAAGTGACGTGATCAGCTGTCCTGCTCTTAACTTTACATCTGCAGAGGAGACAGGATCAGTGTATGTAGAAGGCTGTGTCACAGACATGTTACTGTAGTGTTAGTTTCTCTGTCACTAGTGATGTCTTCTTCCTTACTCTGTTCACCATCGGGTGCTTCTGTCTCATCATTTTCAACTGAGTCTTTGTTGTCAGTGTCAGCATCAGTAGTACTCTGCAGTATTTGTTTATCTCCACTCTCTGTATCCACTTTACCCAACCTTGACTGCTGTACTCTTACAAGAGTCCCACCATGTCTTACCAATACAACAGCTCCATCCTGCCCAATAATTACACCTGGACCCTTCCACTCTGTACAGTCGACTCATTTGTAGTATACTGTATCTCCTGCCTTATATTTGTCATCTGTTGGCCTAAGTTGCTTGGGTAGTGCCCCCCTGATCCTTTCTGAATACTCTGCCTCAGTAAATGCTTTCCTGGAAGCATGTAATGCTGATAAATGTTCAGCTACTCCTGCACTTACAGTTGTGCCCTCTAAGGCAGGTGGTTTTTCCATCAACACAGAAGGGAGGTTGGGGTTTTGGCCAAACACAAGTTGATGTGGACTATAACCATGTAGATTAAGCATACTGTTTTTAGCCATAAGTGCCCAGTCTAGCGCAGTGTGCCAGTCACATCTTCGTTCCTTTTTTATGTAGATCCATCGCTACTGTCTCATTATACTCAGAAGCCAAGGGCAGACCAACAGCAGACCTCGGCTTGGTTTTGCAGCCATACTGACTGCTCGACAATCTGGTCTCTCATTTCCATTTGTCAAAACTCTTCAGCTTCTTTCCGCTATACAGTGACTCTGTGAAATTACAACCTTTGAAGGTCCATTCAAGGAAGTTCACCCTCCAGCAAAAAATCCTGACATGAAAACATGTGTCCTCTTTCTAGTTTCACTCCTGCCTGCTCTGATATCAGCCCTCAGGCCAGGCAAGCCTCTTGACACTCGGGCACCTAAGAGTAGGCACAATCAGGAATCATTTTGAAGAACTTGAGTGTGAATGAGCAGGTTACTAACATAACCAATAATCACTACAATGTTAGACATTAGTCCTACATGACCTTCCTCCAAGTCTTTGACGATGCATGACTCTCATGTCATGACCCTACTCCCCACTCATCCTGTGCACCACCCTGATCTGTGGAGCTTGGGCCTTTTGGGCCTTAGTGGTGTGAAGAATGGGGCATGTGTGGCCCCACCACTGTGGGCCCTCGTAGGGTAGCCTACAGTGTGTACATTGTCAGCCTGTCTCCATTTAATGTGGGCACACACACTATGGGCTAGTGTTGCAACAACTTACTGAGCATTTAAAATATTTGATTATGAAAGATTCTTGACACAAATTCTTTGCTTTGCTGCTTGGTTTAAGGCATGGCTCTATTCTTACCATGGAAACACGAGCGTTTCACCTACATTTGCCACAAAAACAAACCATTTATTATAAACGTATTTAGGAGCAGCCTGTGAATAACAAGCTTGACAACATTAAGCACACACAGCCTCCAGTTTAAAGGATGATAGAGTCTCTGGTGGCCTCAAGCACCTCACCCAATACCTCTAAGAAGGCCGGGTACTCACAGACGACAGTCACGACCCGTTCCCCAACCGAAACGCGCATGGAACAAACCCTCTTGTCGACCAGAAAAACTCCAATGTAAGGGCAGCAAGCCACAGGGGACGCCCAGATATCCACCCCAGCCCACTGCCTTACACCAAGGGCAACTCCAGAGTGGAACAGAGTCCAATCCCTCCCCAGAAGACTGGTTCCAGAGTCCAAGCTGTGCATTGAGTTGTGCATGACTATATCACCACCTCTCAACCTCACGCACTATCTCAGGCCACTTCTCTTAACTAAACGTCACCTCTTTTCAGAGAAGTCATGTTTCATGTCCCAGTTCCCACCACCCACCACACATTGCACCCAACCCCTACGATGCCACCTGTGGGTGGTGGGCCTACAGGAGGACCCCATATCTCTGGGGAAAAAAAGTTAATTATTCAGAAGCATGGACCTATATATTGATAAGAAATACATTAAAATATGTTAATAACATAAAAATCATCTGGAAAAAAAAGGCTTGAGCAGTTTCTTTCCGAGCTCCTCAGACTACAATGACCTGAGTGACTGAGAACTTTCACAGACGTATTCATAGGGGGAATTCAAAATATGAAGGTGGAGTGTTGGTAAAACGGCTGGTTATTGAGTCAACCAAGTGATTTCTCATAGATGTTTAACAGAAAGTGGTGTCTGAGCCTGCACCTGGTCAACTTGTCTGTTTTTTTAATGCTTTTTTTTGTTGACTGGTCAGAGTTGCCATCCTTATGAAATAAAGACAACAATTTTTCCACACTCCACCTTTTCTACATTACAAATGTTGGCCAAGATGGTTAGCAAGAGGAAATTTGTCTGTTAGAATGATAAATCACAGAAACTCTTTTACTTGCTAATGCCTGCTGTGTAGTGAAAGCAGCGCCAGCACCAACTTACTTCGCACACTGGTCTCCCTTCAGTTAATAGTGAAAGACCAGAGGTTTATCCACAATTTGTTTCTCACAAACCACCAGTGAAAAACTACTGGCCTCTCACTCATGCCCAGCTGAAGTCATTATCAGCGGGAGACAGAGACTACCATGAATTGGAATCAGAATCAGAATCAGAATACTTTATTAATCCCGAAGGAAATTAGGGAGACGGCTACATGCACAGTTTGTCACGATCTGCGATGGCAGACCGTGTGGAGTGGAGATCAGTGGACCCAATTGCAGACAAACGAAATATGGAAACGGAAATAGATTATAACAAGAAGTGTGGCCGAAAACTAAACTAGTCACAAAAATCTAAACTGGTAAAACTAAATACATGAAAACCAGGAACACTAGGAAATACATGAACACTTGAGATAAGGGAAGGTTAACAGATGATGACATGAACAGAAGGAGACTTACATACATATATGGGTAACGAAATAAGTAGAAACACACGGGGAACACAGCTGACACAAATGAACATGACGCCACACGGGAAGCAAAACTAAACACGCCGAACACGGAACATGGGTTTGACAAAATCCACTTTAAATGCTCTACTCTAGAACCTTACCTGGCTAAAATCTAAGACAACTGAATGGAAGTGAAGAACCTGTTCTCCTCTTCAGTTTGCCCTATCATAAACTCATCATATTCTGTGTTATGATTTATTTTTATTGTGTTTGACAAGGTTTGTGGCCTTGCTGCATGTGTCACAAAACGCATCTTCACTGTTTACATGACTCCGCTTACGATCAGCCAACATTGTCAACTGAATGAGCTGTGACACATTTCGTATATCCCTATGACAGGCGGAAGAAGAAGTAGTTCCTACAAATTGTTTATACTATTCCAAAAATATAGTTACTGTACTTTCTACCATGTTCCTGGTAATGATAAAGTCCAGTTTTCCCCAAGTAACTAAAATATTGATATTTTAATATGAGACTATTCTAGAACACAGATATCTTGTACTGGAGGAATTGATATTTCAGTACTGAGCTGCACACAACTAAAAAATATTAGTGATATAAAGAATACACAAGCTGCCCGACACCTAGCAATGCAGGCAGATGAGCGTATACACATCTTCTTTATTGAACTTACACATTAAAACATAAAAAGCAGTAACAAAATGTAAACAAACACAGTAACCTGTATTACTGATGTAATGTAACATAGAAAGCTGTTTCGATGTACAGAACATCCGGAGCTGGAATGAGTGCCAGAGGACATAGCTAGACTTTTACTGGAAGAGCTAAAAATAAATAGCAGCTGCAGTTAAAAATTGTCCTACAAAAATAAGGCTTTGCTACATTTATGTCAGGGAAGGTGTTTTTTACCTGTTTATGTGCACAGTAAGTATGTAGAATCATTTTTCTGTTGCAGTGTGAGGAGCCCATTCGAACCTTAGATCTGAGGTCCTGCTCTGCAGTCCAGTTTGACTACTCTCAGGATAAAGTCAACTGTTTTTGGTAAGTGACCCAACAACAGATTTGAGGAACGTGCCTAACTAGAATAAAGAGAAAGTGATCATTTACTTTAAGGTGGATATTGGAAAGTTAACTGAAACACAACACAGCGTTTTGTAGATGTGGCCAACACATGAACTTTCACTGCCTTACCTCTCAGCTTGATTTGGTATAATTTTACCAAATTATTAACTTGAATTTTTGTCACAACCCACACTCATATTCAGATATTGTTATTAATAATCATAATTAATAATCATTTTGGAGGATTTACAAGCTTTGAACTTTGGTTAAAATCTGGAACCCAAAATAAAAATATAACATTAGGAAAATATGGAGAAATCTCTGTATGGAAGGTACAAGGCAAAGTAGAAATTGCTGGCTAGGCTCAGTAACACTCGGAGCCACCACAAGTTAATAAGTTGATTTAAGAGATACTGAGACAAAATGGAAAGCACAAATTGTACCTGTGACAGTGAAAACTATTGCATGGTTATTTAAAAAAAAAAAAAGGGGGGGGGGGGTCTAATGTGTTTTAGCAAAATGTCAAAATAACTTCTAAAGAATATTTAGCAGGCAAGAGTCCTAAATCTGTCCATCTACAGTTGAGAACACTCAGTTTATAAATAGGTATTATAAGGTTATAAAGAGGATCCTAGTTAAAAATGACTTCTCACAGAAGTATACGACGCCAAAGTTTTGAAATCCATGTTTGGATGCAGAGTGTGTTTCTGAGATGTTTGGGGCCAAATATTATAGCTTCAGTTTTCCATGATTTTCTTCATATTTTATTACCAAGCAGTCAGATTTGCTCGTAATTTCTGTGAATGGTTTTGAGGAGTAGTTCTCCAGGCTTTCTGGAGGTTTTTCAATGTTTTTGTTTGTCATTGGCTGCCATTTCAGTCATTTTCAGTCAGATCATTCTCAGGTGAATGTGTTTTTCTTCTTTTGTTTAACCACTTATCATGGACCTATCAATCACTCAAGCAAAAGGCAACTAATTCAACTAAGTCAATGGGTGAACCAGTGTCCATAAAAGACAACAAAGAACCAGTTTTAAATCTCAAAGACCTTCAAGGAATTTGAAGCTTGTCGCAGCAACACCTCATGTGTTTCTGTTTTTTTCAGTTGAATCTGTGAAAAATGCCAAATACAACATAGTTTGACAGTATCAAATAATATTTTTGCATAAACAATATCCAAAGACTCTATTGGCCTACATTTTAACATATGTTGGCATGGTGTGCAATAAAACAAGAAACTGGACAAGTGGGAGACAGTAGATCTAAAAACAACAAAAAACCCTGCAGCGGATGGTGTCATAGTCCTGGGTTTGATTAAAATCATTAAGATAGGTTGACTTGTGTTCTTGTGCTGTATTAGTTTTCTGTATTAGTTCATCTGGAGCTCTGTTTTCCTAGTGCCTCTGATTTTTCATTATTTATATTCCTAGCTTTTGATTTCTTGTATTTATTATGTGTGTCTACCCTTTTGTGTCAAGTCTCTCCTGGTCTCTTCTCAGTGTTTTGTTATCTTTTTATGTCTGCATAGCTGTCTACGTGCAAACTAATACATTTGAGTCAACATCCATCTTCAGCCCTCCCTTGCACAGTTTCTCCACATAATGAGCAATATGCATGTCATGACCGTGTGAATGGAGTTGTTTACTCTGACCCTGAATCCTCCCTTATTTATGCTGAAATCCCGTCTTTAACCTCCTAAGACCAGAACTCTTTCATGGCATGCATTTTTAATTTCTCTTTGCCATTTGGGCTGATTGGGACCAGATGAATGTAAAATTGTTTTTTTTACCTGATTTTTGTTTCTGAGAAAAATTAGATCCGCATATGATGACATTTGCTTTAAATTTTGATAGAAGAGAGGCAGTACAATGTCCTCATAAATGGATATCAGGCCCTTGTAGAGCAAAATTTAGTATTTTGGTCTATACAACCCGAAATGTGATGTCCACATATGTGGACGCCAGATCCTAGGAGGTTAAGTGATGACGTGGTGAACCCTGCTTCGGGGTCCAAACTACTCTGCGTTTAATAAGGCTGTTGGATTTTGTTTTTTTTTAACATGTTTTAATGCTTTGTATCTTGTTCTAATTAATGCGAACAAGCCCCTAAAAACAGCCAGTGATCACTGTCGGCTTCTCTCAGTTTTTATTACTGCTATTGATTTTAAAGCTCAGTTTTTAAAACAATACGATGTAACTACAGCCCAGCCCATGCAGCTATGTATTAATGACTAACCTTCAGAGATGGGCAGTAACGCATTACTTGTAACGCATTACTGTAATCTGATTACTTTTTCAAGTAACGAGTAAAGTAAGGGATTACTATTGCAAAATCGGTAATTAGATTACCGTTACTTTCCCGTAGGAACGCTGCGTTACTGCGTTACTAAAACCGTGATTTTTTTTGCGAGAATGTCTCATGACAGTGACGTAAGCGAGTGCGCCGTTCGTGACAACAGCTGTGTGCAGATCAACAGTGGATCACATATCGAGTGCAGAGAGAGTATGAGCGTGCAGCGTTTAAAGCGTGGAAGTACTGACCTTACTTTGAGTTTGATTCTATAAAAAGTGACAAAAACATTCGTGTCCGCTGTGCGTGGGAAGAAAACTTTTTACAGCGAAAAACCCCTAAACTTCCAAACAAGCACCGAGTAGCTACGACGTGATGGGAAACTCACAGAGAAACTCGCGGATTCTTCCACTGACCGCGGCACACCTGCACCAGGGTAAACCTCCGCCTACCCCACTCCTGCTTTACAGGTGAAAATAGATCCAACAGGACCGCTGAGTCTTTGACTTTATTTATTTTCTGCTGTGTTTTACTTGCATCTATTTGAAAGACTGAGTGTAAACACACAAAATATTTTATTTTATGTGCTGGAATGTGCAGAAAATAGGTTTAAATAAGATAAGATAAGATAAGATAGAACTTTATTAATCCCTCGGGTGGGTTCCTCTGGGAAATTCGACTTCCAAAAAGCACAGCAACGACCGAAGTTACAGTTACAGAATTGTTATATATATATATATACACACACACACACACACACACACACACACACACACATATAAATACAGAGACAAATATAAATAAAATATACAAAGGGGATAAATAGAATAAATAGGAATAAAAAATAAAAATACAAGTGAATTGCACATTTCAAGTATTGAGTCTATTGCACTGTTGACTATTTACAAAAGTATTGCACAAAGGTATTGCACAGTGAGGTGCAGAGGCACTACAGCTTAGTTGTTCCCCCCTCCTTTGTCCTCCTGTCTCCCCTACCTCTCCCCTCCAGAGAGGAGTTAAACAGTCTGATGGTGTGTGGGACAAAGGAGTTTTTAAGTCTGTTAGTTCTTGTCTTGGGGAGAAGCAACCTGTCACTGAACAGACTCTTCTGGTTGTTAATGGCCGTGTGCAGAGGATGCCCAGCATTGTTCATAATGTCCATCAGTTTCTTTAGTGTCCTTTTCTCTGCCACTGTCACCAGAGTGTCCAGCTTCATGCCGACCACAGAGCTAGCCTTCCTGATCAGTTTCTCCAGCCTGGATGAGTCCTTCTTTGCTGTGCTGCTCCCCCAGCACACCACAGCATAGAAAAGTACTCCAGCAACCACCGACTGGTAAAACATCCTCAGGAGCTTCCTGCAGATGTTAAAAGACCTCAGCCTCCTGAGGAAGTACAGTCGGCTTTGGGCTTTTTTATACAGGTGCTCTGTGTTGCATGACCAGTCCAGTTTATTGTCCACCCACAGCCCGAGGTACTTGTACTTGTTGACCACCTCCACCTCCTCCCCCTCTATCTGAACCGGCAGTGGATCTTCTCTGGACCTCCCGAAGTCCACAACCAGTTCCTTAGTCTTTGAGGTGTTGAGTTGCAGGTGGTTTGTGTGACTCCATGCGACAAAGTTCCTCACCAGACTTCTGTACTCCTCTTCCTGATCGTCCCAGATACACCCCATGATGGCCGTGTCGTCTGCAAACTTCTGAATATGGCATAATTCAGAGTTGTAGCAGAAGTCAGAGGTGTACAGGGTGAAGAGAAGAGGGGACAGCACAGTTCCCTGTGGTGCTCCTGTGCTGCTGACCACAGTGTCAGACGTGATGTCCTTCAGCCTGACGTACTGTGGTCTGTCGGTGAGGTAGTCGGAGATCCAAGCCACCAGGCAGGGGTCCACCTCCATCCTGTTCAGTTTTTCCTGAAGCATACAGGGCCGGATGGTATTAAAGGCACTGGAAAAGTCAAGAAACAGTATCCTGACCGTGCCTTTTCCCCCATCCAGGTGTGAGTGGGCTCTGTGTAGGAGGTACAGGATGGCATCCTCCACTCCGACACCCGCCTTGTATGCAAACTGTAGTGGGTCCTGGGCATGTTGTACCTGTGGTCGGAGGAAGTTGAGGAAGAGCCGCTCTAGAGTCTTCATAAGATGTGACGTCAGTGCCACCGGTCGGAAGTCATTCAGCTCATTGGGCCGGTTCTTTTTGGGGACTGGGACGATGCAGGATGTCTTCCATAGGGCGGGCACTCTCCCCAGTCGCAGACTGAGGTTGAAGACTCGTTGTAGCGGCTCCCCAAGTTCAGCAGCACACGCCTTAAGCATCCTAGGACACACCTTGTCTGGGCCTGCTGCCTTTCTGGGGTGAAGCTTCCTCAGTTGCCTCCTGACCTGATCCACTGTGACACTGGAACACTGGGAAATGTTAAACTCATTTATTCCAGTCAGAGAATGTTGCATATAATTAAATTTTTGCTTGATGCATAAAGTTAAAAGATTAAAACTAATAAAACAAGTTAAAAAAAAGAGACTTTTCCCTTTGATTACATTTTGTATGATGGATAATGCAGAAAAAGTAGAATTGGGCTGAAAGATCTATCGCTTTATTACCTGTTCAGGTTGTAAATCGTGTTTTTAAAAAGTAACTAAGTAACTAAGTAATTAATTACTTTTGAAAATAAGTAATCAGTAAAGTAACGGGATTA